AAAAAAAAAAAGACTACATGTCAAATGGAAGTGTGAACAGAAAAGTCAAAATGTCCACAGTGCAACATTCAACTCAAAATTTCCTTAATTTAAGATACATCAATAACTTACAGCTTGAGCGGCTTCATCAATTATGACTACATCAAAAGTCCTGTTTAATTTATTGAAAAGAGATGACCCGCTGAAGCTCAGAGTGGAGAAAACCTGCAACAATCGGCTATTATCAATTTATTTTGGCAATACCTCTCAATTGAAAGGGGTATTATACTTGCCGCAAATCACTTGAAAAAAACATATGCTTACAATTACTGCTTCATCCAGTATAGATGTGCGAATACTATCTCTATCATTTGATGCACCACCTTGCCTCTGCTTGTCACCAGTATGAGAGTCTACACCTGAGAGTTTTTGCTCTACCTAGAATGATTAATTGTCACTGTGAGCTTAAAATTTCTAAAATTTAGTTATGCCAAGAAAGAAATAGATTAATAACATATATAAGATCAATGAACATATAACTACCAAGTAATCCATGGAAACAGCCTGGACTGAGTGGTGTGGTTTAAGACCAATACGCACAATTTTAGGGTTGTATGAATGACCATTTTCATCATGAATGCCTGTCATGTAAGAATTAATGCATCAGTATTTGTACCAAAAAGAAATTGCTTGCCTGTAAACAATGATTATTAAGTCAAGCAAAGTTTTGTTTATGCAAATAAGTTTATTGAACAACACTTTCTGAAATTTCTATTTACTAGGGAAGCAAATAAAAGTCTTCTTCAGCATTTGCTGAATAAATAACAAATATTGATTAACTTAGAAAACTCACCCGTATTTAGTATACGCAAGACAATCTCGTCGAGCGCAGAATTCGATGGAGCACATACTAGAACACGGACACGATATTTGCGACTGGAATTAACCATTTCTGGTTTCTACGTGATTTTTTCAGAAGAATGAGATGATACAATGCAAGTATATCATAAATTCATAATATAACATTCACAAAATAAACATCACTTACCAACTCATTTCCAGATGTGGGGTAAAATCCATCATCACCATTAATAGGCATGATTGCATCTCGAGGATTGATACCACTTAACCATGGAGATGCTTTTCCCCAGTGATTATATCTGTACATAGTAAACACATGCTTCAGAAAACCTATTTCCGACGAGAAATCAAGAAATTAATAATATTTTAGTTTTATGCTAGTTTGAAAAGTTCACAGCCAAAAAACTAGATATACAGAGCATAATTTTGATTGAACTAAATTGAACTAACAGCATTAAACATACTTTTCATGAATAGGCAATTCTGGTCCGCGCTTAACTCCAATCAGTTTTTCCCTACATACAGTAAGTAAACAGATCAAAAATTTTTACACTGTGATTGAGTGAGATATTCTCAGTTGGTCTTTAACAGGCTTTCAGCAATATTATAATCGAGACTAAGAATAGATTTTATAAGTGCTTACTTGTTGGAGAGAACCCTAGATGGGGAAGCATGCAAAATGGCACTAAGAAGCCCAAGGATGGTTTGTGTTTTCCCTGTCCCTGGTGGCCCCTAAAAGCAAGTATTATGTTAAATTGGCATTTCAAATCATTATCATGATATGAATGGACAGCACAATTAGAAGTAACTCAAGTACTGAAGAGTCCAAAATAGTCAGAATGATCGGATTTTTCGGATAATCTGCTGCATGCAATGGGTCTGGAAATGAGGGAAAAAAAATGTTCTATTTGAAAGAATAAAGCTACAGTCAAACCTGTATCAAAACAAACGATTGACGTGAAAGACCAGCCTGAAACACATCCAGAGGAAGCTCTGTCAGAGATGTAAAGGAAAAGAAGAAAGCTGAATACCATACGGTAACAATTTACAGAGAAGTAAAACTAAAAACAGAACTACTCAAAAGTGTTTACTGCGGGTAAACTTTGTAAACGAGATCTTTGAGGGTTCTGAATATTAGAATAATGATTGCTAAGAACTCACATATATAGCTTCAAGCTGTGACTTATTATGATTGCTTTCAATAAACTCAGCTAGAGTTTTAGAAAGCTTCCAGGCACGGTCTTCAGTATTATTGACCAGTTCAGCAGCTGTCAATATCAAATCTTTGAAAGGGAGAGAGCTAATGGAGCGCATAGCAACATATTCACGGACTATAGTTGATAAGCTGCAAATCTGGGATAAAAAAGTGAAGGTAAAAGTAAGCAAAATTCAGAAATTAATTCGCATGTATGTTCAAACGATTACCTTCAGGACATGCAAAATGTTTTGCTCTTTACTGACAACAGGAAGCATACTTAACAGCCGCGGGCAAGTTTGAATGTCATCAGTATTATATGCTTTGACTTCTCCACTCAGAAATAGCCGAACTCTTATTTCAAATTTCTGACGGTGCTCAACTATGGCAAACGCATATGTCGTAGGTAACTGTTTGCCTTCTCCGAACTGCAATCACAAACACAAAAAGCAACAAGAAGCCCAATAAAGTTTCCAAGTAACAGTCAATAAATCACGGTGCCATAAAAAATAAATGTGGTAAGTGTGTCGAATGAAAATACCTTCTTAGTCGACAACAATAGAAGATCATTCTGAGATACTGACATGTCATCAGCACACATGAATGTAGGACAATGAAATCCATTGACTTCACAGCATTCTTTCACAAGTACTTGCTCATACTGAGTTTCTGTATGTCCAGGAATATGTAAAATATCACTACATGTTCATCAGCTAATGAAAAAGGGAGAAATAGCATATAAAACAAGAAGCTGATTGTATTCAGAGATGAACTGCATAAAAGAACCTAGATACAGAGAGATACATATGGTCTGGAAGAGTCATTGCAAATGGTTGTCCATTACAAATGGAGTTGGAAGAGTCATTGTTGACAATTCTCCTGGCATAGTGCTAATAATGGATAGTGCTAATAATGGACTAGACAAAATGGCTCAATTAAATCTTCTATTAGTGAAGTTTCTAGAAAAAAAAAATATACTAAACGACGCAATGCACCTTGGGTCGCTACAAAAACAGCCTCCTTATATAATTACAAGGGTAAGGTCTGCGTACAACTGACCCCCAGACTCCAACCAGTTGGGAATATACTGGGTATGTTGTTGTTGTTGTTGTTGTACAGAGAGATACATATGTATGAATGAAATAAGCTCTCTCGCATGCCTTAAAAAACTTAAAACTCACTGAGATACAGAAAGTGAATGAAATAACCTCTATCTCATGCCTGGGCACAAAGTTCGTTTTGAGGTGAAGCAATCAAATAATTCCAAAATCAAATATTTCTCTCAATACAAAACAAAATAAAATCTTAAAGGATGAAATGAGATTGCCACCTTCTTCATCATCTTTTCCTTGAACAATCTGAGCTTTAACTTCTTCAAAAAGTAATGGCTCAAAGGTAGCAAGATATTCATCAACGTCTACATATGTATTCTTCACTTCCTTGAATCCGTCAGCACTTCCTTCCCCAGCCTTTCTATCATAGTTTTTCTTCTAAACAATAACCAAAAACAAAATAAAAATTGAGAAAAAAAAAATGTACTTCAAAACGCAAAAGTAAGACATTTCAGCACATATCATTGCCACCACCACCCCAAACAAAGAAACACACACACACACACACACACATATAGAGAGAGAGAGAGAGAGGACCAGTGAACTTGAAGAAAGAAATTCCAACTGTTAAGATGAACAGTACTGGAATCAAACAATCATAGCATAAGATTAGTCCTACAATTAGCAAAACAGAATAAAACATAGAAACAAGAAGTTAAAGAGGATCGTCGAACTCAATACATCGGACTCTTTCAAGAGACGAAGGTAATCCCAGCTAAGGACTATCTTATAGAATCGATTGACACATGCTTCTTCTTCAAGCTTGCTCTTGTCAACCGCCATAATTTCCCCAGTGACTTCTACCTCCTAATCCCAACAGCGACACTGTAGGCGTCCTTTGCAATACTGTACCCTACAATACCAGAGCAGAACACAGAAACAAAATTTAAAAAAACCCAGAAGAATACAGAAAAATGTAGGTACACTAACATCTTGATTTAACTATTTTGAATATAGTGTACACAGCTCAATCTTGAGCAAAGCTTCACCAATAAACATGGTATACACCAATCCAAACAAAATGGATTACATGAGGCAACAATACATGAAACTAAAAAAGGAATTGAGGAAGAAATTAATCCAAGAGACTATAAACTCCCAATTTTTTGCAACATTAATCAGTTATTCACCTAAAACTGCGGTCCTTAAAAAATTAGGAGAAAACACATAAACGTTAAAAAGAAGGGCTAACGGAGGCCGGCAAAGAGAAGCCGTGAATGCAACCTCCAGCCGGCGGTGGCTCGGTGAGATGTCAGGGCCGGCCAACTGCTCGTGCTGAGGAGGTCAGAGGAACTGTGGCGAGTGGCGAGCGAGAAAAGAAAATGGACTAGACTATGGCGCTAATTTTGCTCAAAGGCCACAACTTGACCCGAAACTAGTGGAATTTGGGCTGGGACTATTATTGAAAATGGGCCTTCCTTGGACTTAAATTAACCTGTAAGTTGTAACTGAATGGGCCCATAAACGAGAACGTGTGTGAGAGAGAAGATGAAGAACAAGAAAAAGAAACAGCAGTTTTTTTTTTTTTGGTACAACGGATGGAGGCTAAAGCCTAAAATCGTTTAGACAGTTATTAGTCGTGGGTACGCAACACCAATAAGGTGTAGCCACGGTTTGACTTCCAACGGTAGATCAGAAAAGCGAAGACAACCACTAGAACCACAATGGCCGAGAGACGCCAAGCAGTCAGCCGCAAAGTTAGCTTCTCGGAAACAATGAGTCACCGTGACTTCCCACTCCCGGGTTATCAAATCCCGAATAGCCCAAACCAAGGCACCATGCACTCCAAGATCCGATGAGTCCCCATTTGCTAAGCTCACCACACTTTTATTATCTACCTCGGCAATAACTTTACGACACCCCAAGTCCCAGGCGAGGAGTAATCCTTGGAAGAGGCCCCATAGCTCGGCCCCAGTAATCGAACAATAACCGATGTTCATCGTAAAGCCTCCAATCCAGCGGCCCCCTATGTCTCGAATTAAGCCACCTGTTGCGGCCATCCCGAAATTGGAAATGAAGGACCCGTCTGTGTTAATTTTGAAGGTGTCGTCGGCAGGAGCTTCCCAGCGGATGAGGCGCACACCGCGTTCAATGCCTAGGCTCCTCAAACTAACCTCGGACGAGATGACAGTGCGAATGCCGAGGGCAGCGAATTGTGACTCCCGGATTTTCTGGTCGGCAACAAAGTTTTTTCCGGCGAAAATTTTTTCGTTTCTCCCTCGCCAAATATGTCACACTGTTACCCCAAATAGAGTCTCCCAACCAACCACGTTAATACCCAGTTCATTCTGTAAATTTTGGAGTAACCAGGCCCTCAGAGGTAGCCGAAAAAATTCGGCTTGTTGACGGCTTGGGATCAAACGACGCTAGATCTGTCGGGCCCCAGTACAATCTCGGAGGCAATGCATGATCGACTCATCGTGGCGGCTACATAGTGTGCAAATCGGCGAGTCCAGTATGTGCCGTCTCCTCCGTTCTACGTTAGTGAGCAGCTTCTCGTGAGCAACAAGCCATAGGAACTGACGAATTCGTTGCGGGCCGGGCCATTTCCAGATTATTCTCTACGGAGTCCGGTCAATCACAGGCATCGAAGGACCATTGACCAGCACATCATATGCCGACTTCGTCGAGAAGCTGTCATTTTCCGAGTGTCCCCAGTACATGTTATCAGGCCCCGCAGAACTCGAGGGAGGAAGAATTGCAGCGATGCGAAGGGCTATGCTTGTCGGGACTAAGTGACCAAAAAGATCCCATCTCCATTGACCCACATTATCAACGAAAGCGGTAACCGGCCAGTCGAGCTGCTCATGCGGGATAGGACCAAGAGCGACACGGAAAAGAGAATGCGGGCTGTGCGTCCAATTATCTCGTTAGAACCGGGCAGTGGTCCCATCGCCAATGGACCACCGCACTCCACGCCGCACGTCCGGCCACACATTTTTAATGGCTTGTAGAATGGCGGACCATCTGGGAAATACAAATTCCTCATGCATGGAGGCGGGTTCTAGCTTGTATTTTGCGAGGAGAAGCCGAACCCAAAGAGCGTGTGGTTTGGTCAAGAGGGACCAACCCAATTTCATTAGAAGGGCTGAATTCATGTAACGCTGCTTTTTCACACCCAGCCCGCCGTGCTCTTTGGGTTGGCACAACTTATCCCACGACACGAGGTGTATTTTCCGACTGGATGAAGTGCCACCCCACAGAAAGTTTCGACATTGCTTTTCAAGGCCCGCGCACGTTCCATTAGGCAACCATGCGGTTTTCATGGTATAGTATGGCAGAGAGCTGACCACTGATTGTGTTAGAACTAGGCGGCCAGCGAGGGACAACGTGCTAGCTTTCCAACTGGCAAGTATAGCATCCGCCTTATCGAGGATGTTACCATAAGTATGATTGGTAACACGTCCATGCAGAACCGGTACTCCAAGATATTTGCTGAGGTTGGTAGCAATCGAAAACCCCATGGTCCGAGCTAGTGCTTGCTGGTCGGAGATAGGAGTGTTCTTTGAGAAAAAAGACGTTTGTCTTTGCGCGGCTGACCTTTAGCCCGGATATGGAGTAGAAATGTGATAGCACGGAATCGACCAACTGTGCTTGATCATCTCGGGCCTCTATGAATAAAAGCAAGTCATCTGCGAACATGAGGAGTGGCACGCGGACCTCACTGGCTCCCACCCTAATTGGCCGCTAGGCGCCGGTGATAGACCGGTCCGGCGCTCCGCGTGGTTATATACGTACATGTTCCGACTCGCCGGTCATTATGGATAGTATGGCATGGCGGGGGGGAAAACCCTATGGCTAATAGATAAGAGAGCGTCGGTGCGATGTAAAACACATCACATCAGCAAGGGATTGGGATTGCAGTAGGAATTCACTAATAGTTGTGAATGTATAAATGTATAGATGGGGGGAATCACAATACTGGCCATACCTATGATTGATGGAAACCGCGCCCCTGGTGCTTAAATTCCTCTGAATATTGAGAGAACTTAGCCTCCAACAAGGGAATGGATGACACCAAGATTCTTACTGATTTGGAAACTCGATTTGTCCCCAAAGACTCTTCTTTTGAAGAAGCCGGTTGACTACTTTCAACCAGACAAAAGAAGATGATTGACCGGGCCGGCCCGTCTTGATTCGCATAGAATCTATTAACTCCTGGGCGACAATAATATTGTCAGTAATATGGCGGCCGGGCACGAAGCTAGCTTGAGTCTGGCCGACAAGAAGAGGGAGTGTAGGCTTCATTCGGTTAACCAACACCTTAGTGATCAATTTTTTTACACCACGTTGAGCAGACTAATTGGCCGGAATTGCTGAATACGCGCGGGATTATCTACTTTCGGGATGAGGACGAGTAAGGTTCTATTCAATTCCATTGGCAAGCAACCCCCATCGAAAAAGGTACGGATCATAAGGCACACAGTAGGGCCCACCGTATCCCATTTTTGTTGGAAGAATATCGCATGGATACCATCGGGACCAGGTGCTTTCAACGGTTTCATGTCATTGAGGGCTAGGAAAATTTCCGTATCACTCACCTCACGATCCATGCGAGCAAAGAGGCGGGGATCGAGCCTTGGAAACATGTTGTTCATGCCCGGGCCTACTGCGATCGGTTCCGAGTGTGTGTATATGCCCGGAAAAAATCGAAGGCTATTTTTTGAAGTGCTTCAGGCTCCTCCACAATGGAACCATCGTCATCCTTTAGAAAGAGTATCCGGTTATGGTAGCGACGTTGTTTGACCGCCCGATGGTAGAATGTGGTGTTCCGGTCGCCAAAAAGTGTCCAATCTCATTGAGACTTCTGTATCAATAGGATATCTTCCTCTAAGGCAACGACATCAAGTTCCTAAGGTAAAGTGGACTCCATGGCAATCAACCGAGGCGTAGTATATTTCTGTAACTCGCGTTGGATCCCAGCGATTCGCTGGAGGAGCCGCTTCTTGCGTTGGTAAATATTACCGAATACATTGAAATTCCATCGCATGGCCAGGTCCCGAAAACAAAGGCTAGCTTTAGTGTATGTTTTCCCAGCCCAAGCCTCCGTTACAATGTCGTTAAATCCTTCATGGAGGAGCCAAGAGGCCATAAATTTAAAGGCTTTGGAAGGGCGAGCTGGTGAGATGGTGGCCGGGAAGTGGACTTGAAGCAGGAAAAGGTCAGAATAGCAGCGTGGAAGGTGCTTGACAAAGCAGTCCTTGTAAGTGTTCAGCCATGCATGATTGGCGACAAAGCGGTCAAGTTTTTGTTTTAAATTGTCGCGCTGCCACGTGAACAACATGCCATCGGTACGTAATTCCTCAAGCCCGCTGCTAAAAAGCCACGATGAGAAGTCGCGACCAGTGGCTTATCGGTTGCGGGCCCCCCATACGTTCGCATTGCCGAAGGATGCAGTTAAAATCACCTCCTATAAGCCATGGCTCATGAATTCCATCCGCTAATCCTTCGACTTCCCGCCACAAGGTGCGGCGGATCCGAGGGTTAGGACTAGCATAGACAAAGGTGACCAAGAACGCCAAGCCATCTAGAAGGACCTTGGCATGGATGAATTGGCGTTGGCATTTCAAAATGGTGAGGCTCACCCTTTCTTTCCACAAAATCCAAGTACCGCCCGAGAATCCCATCGCCTCGACGCGGAACGAATGATCAAATCCACTTTTCTTAATGAAAGCGTCAGCTTTACTGCCACTAATGCGAGGTTCAAACATAGTAAAAACATCCAGAGCGTACTGACTAGTTAAGGTAGAGAAGCTTCAAAAAAAGTAGGGCAAAGCTGCTCCTTGTACATTCCATGCAATAATATTCATTGGGAAACTATTATAAATGAAGTGACTCCCTTTAGGGTGAGTTATGAACCATAGAAGCTGGCGCTTCCTCATCTGACATAGGAGCATTGCTCGTTGTGTCCTCAAGTTGGTCCGACAGTCGCCCATCAGAGAGCGGAATGTCCATGCCACCAATAGCTAATTCATCACCGGGGTCAAGTGGGTCTTTAGCTGGACTGCCTGGATTGGGCGGAGAGGGATTGTCCGCAACCAGGACTGCCTGGTGCCTAGACGGGTCCAGTCCAGATGTGAGCGGAACTTCCGTGGTACAGTGGTGTGTGACTGGCCCGAATTGAACTCTCCTGGCCTCGTTATATTGGATCGGGCTCCCATTCTGCACCTGGTGTGCCATATTGTTAACAGTTGGCTTAGTAAACGGTGCATTTGATGGCCCTCCCCCATTATACCTCTTGGAAGCAACTTTATTGACTTTATCCTTGCCTTGTCTACCACCTTTGGACGTAACCAACTGCCATTCACTGTTGTTGGTGCTACCACGAGTTTTCCCAGAATCACTGTGTAGCTTTCGCGTTTGGAAGCCCGTGCTCGACGCCTCGAACATCCCTTTACCTTTGTCGGCAGCATTAAGGACACGTTGGGCTGCGGGCGCCTCCTGATTGGGAGTCGAATCCATGCCCTCATCCTCCACTAACATCGCGAATCTCGAGCCTGAGGTGTCCCCACCGGTTTTGCGGATTAGAACCTGGCTAGGTTCCCCTTTGTTGCGCCAAGGCTGTTGTCGTGTCGTTTTCGCCCGCATACACGGCCCAAACCGGGCCCCATCCTCTTCAGTGTCTTTAGTGATTGGATCAGTGCGAGGGTCAGTTCCAGTTGGAGCGTTCGCGGCCCCACTGGCTTTATCGGGCTGCGCTTCCCGTCGTAAATCCTCCGACCTAGGACATGTGCTTTCTAAGTGACCACATCAGCCACAGCTGTAACCGATGTCCGGCATCATTTCGTATTCAATTCTCTGAAATTTCCCTCGAATTGTGAAGTGAGTGCGAAGCGGGCTGGCGAGGTCTAGTTGAACTGCTAGTCGTGCAAACTTCTCTCGTGTTTAGGCCGCTGTCTGGTGGTCGATCTTGATTACCTTTCCCACAATTTGCCCTATCGTGCGAAAGACTTTCTTGTGGTAAAGATGTATCGGGAGGCCAGGTAATCGAATCCAGGCCACTGTGGAGGAGATTTTGTTAGCGGAGACGTCAAAATCTTCCGTCCATTGTTGAACGTGTAGGTAGTGTTTATTCACCACCCAAGGGCCCCCAACCAGAGCCGCGACTACGTCATTGTGCGTGCGAAGTTGGATCATGTAGTACCCATTCTCGGCATCCAAAATCGGGCATCCCTCCACAAAAGGCCATAGTGCCTGAAGTTTCTTGTGTAGCGTCTCCATGCGCATGTTGATCCCCAACAGTTTGACAACAATGACGTTACTGAAAGACTTTACATGGCTCTCATAAAATGATGCTTTCATCTTGATATCCGGCACCGGGGTGCTAAAGTCCACAAAGACATCATCTTTCGGGCCTTCGCCTTCATCATCGGATTCTAGGGCGACATGGAGGCAGTTCTTGTTTAGGGTGGCCTTAAAACTCAATGGTGGAGGCGCGACGTTGACCACCGGTGTTGAATTCAGCGTCTCTGAATTCTGGGTGACCTCCGTGATAGGGGGCGGGGGCGGTGAAGTTTCAACGGACACAGAGGATCGTCTCTTCTTCGAATTATGGGATCCAGGAATCAAGCGTGGATTGGCCGCTTGTAGGTCCGGGAAGGGGTCAGGCTGGTCAACCCTAGGGTCAACCGGCGTAGCGATGGTGGTCGGGGTCTTTGTTGTGGCGGTGTGCCCTAACATGCTCTGTCTTTTCTTATATGTGTTTTTTTTTCCAATCTTTATTAATTAGTAGCAGTTTTTTAGTATAACTGTAAGCCTAGGGTTTAAGTTCACTACTCGAACAACCTCACTAATGGCGGACGAGTCGGCTCCCTAGGTCCCAACTGAACACGAACCGAAGTCGGAAGCCGTCTCCATGACAGTGGTGCCGACAGAGGAGAATTTTGAAGACGGCGGCTCGAAGCGCGCCAGAGAAGAAGAAGAAGAAGAAGAAGAAGAGCCGGACGAAAGAAGAGAGAAAAAAGCAAAAATCGAGGATGCGAAGACTGTCGAGAGTTCGGGAGACGATGACGGGAAAATGGAGGAGGATGTGAAGGAATCGGGTCGGGCTGCCGTCGGCCTGAAAACGTTTGGGTATTCCGTGGAGATCTTTGATTACTTCTTTAAGCTTCTCCATGCTTGGCCGCCTAATCTCAACATTAACAAGGTAATCAAAAATTTCAGGTTAAATAGCTTTGATATACGATGATATCTCTTATTTATTTAAATTTTGTTTATGAAAAAGCTCGTAAAATACATGTAAATCCATATATTTGATTATATTGGATCACACTATAAGTCTCCTATTATGGTTGTGTTTGGTAAGCATGTAAGCTAGTTTATAGCTTATTTTATTAGTTTATAAATATAAATTTTTTGTATTCAACTAAGTTTGGATTGGTAGGACGAGCTTTTTTAAAAAGCTAGAGCTTATCTCATAAGCTACCTCCTTGGGTAGCTTTTCAAATAAGATCATTGAAATTTTTATTTCAGCTAGATAAGCTAATTTTACCAAACACTTTTATGATATAAGCTAGTTTTTCAGTCATAAGTTATAACCTATCAGCTATAAGCTCGAAATTCACTTAAAAGATATAAGCTACTTATCAGCTAGGTTTACCAAACATAACCTATACCTATATATAATTATATGAATAATCGTGAAGCACCTAAATCTGGCTTTTTTTTACCATTAAAAGCTCTTTTTATCTTTACATTTCCTGTGTGAATCAGTATGAACACATAATGCTGCTAGAACTCCTCCAGAAGGGCCACCACTCGGATGCTGAGAGGAAAATCGGCAAAGGGATTAAAGCCTTTCAAGTCTGTTTTCATCCTCGGTTTAAGAGCCGCTATTTTTTCCTGACTAGGGAAGATGGTTCGACCTATGATTTCAGCTTCAGAAAGTGTGTGGACCACATTTTGCCTTTGTCTGAAAACATGCAGATAAAAGACGACACCAACAAGGCCTTGCGTGGGAAAGGAGGTGGCCGTGGCCGAGGTAGGAAATGGAGGTAAAAAGAAAAAAGAATTTTTGAGGCTTGTTAGTAAGTAATTCTTTTTACTTTCAAACGTTCGTGTGGTTTTGTGTTTGACCTGGGATCTTTACAGTTTGGCCTTTGAAAATGGTATGGATGCAAGTTAGCGTGTGTGTGCATTATTAAAGTGTTAATCCTCTGGTCCTTTATGGCAAAAGAACAGGGTAATTTAGTCAGAGATAACTCTCTCGGCTTTCTGGAGCAAACATTACTGGTTTTAATGAGGACACTTTCTTAAAATGAGGACATGAGACTCAATCTTAGCCACTAAAAGGGTATCAAGATGTGTGGCCAAGATTTAACTCTTTATTTAAATAATATTTTTTTATTTTAATTATTGTAGTTATTTAAATATTATTTTGACCATTGTCCGTTGACCGTTGACTTTCGTCGTTGACTTCCAGCGAATATCGTTGACTTTCGACGTTGACTTTCGGCGTTGACCCATTGACCCTAGATATAACAAACATTGCATCAGCAGAGAAGTAACCTTGCAACTAATATTGCAACTAGATATAACTAACATTGCAACTACATACAACTAACCTTGCAAATACAAACACATATCCTTGCAAAAACAAACAAATAACCTTGCAACTATAGAAAACTAACCTTGCAAATAAATATAACTAACATAGCAACTACAGAGAACTAACCTTGCAACAAAATAACCTAACCTTGCAACTAAATTCAACTAACTTTGCAAAGAAAGAAACATATTCTTGCAACATGGAATTAACCTTGCAACTGCTGATAACTAACATTGCAACTAGATAGAACTAACCTTGCAACTATTAATAACTAACATAGCAACTAGATACAACTAACATTGCAACTATATACAACTAACCTAGCAACTACAGAAAACTAACCTAGCAACAACAGAAAAATAACCTAGCAACAACAAAAAAACTAACCCTGCAACAAGACAGAGAGTTTTGCAATGTTAGTGTGAAAATAATGCATAGTTAGTCTGAAAATGTTGCATGGTTATTGAAACAATAATGTAAAAAATATGTTGCACAGTTAGCGATAAAGTATTGCAAAGTTAGTGTAAAAATGATGCATAGTTAGTGATAAAGTGTTGCACAATTAGTGTCAAAATATTGCATGGTTATTGAAACAATAATGCAAAAAGATGTTGCATAGTTAATGTAAAAATG